AAGGAGGTTGGAACTAGATGGTCTTAAATGTCCCTTCTAACCCAAACCATATATGATTCTAAAATGAAGGTAAAGGAAAGTGGTGTTTTTGAGCCTGATAGCTCATGAGTAGCAAAGATTTTTTTTTGTCTGATTTTTGGCTAGAAGGTCCTAGAAAGTATGGTGGAAAGGGATCTCAGGAGAATACATTCAATTTTGCTGGCTTTGACCTTAACAACTGTGCCAAATCTACCCCTGAGATGTTTGATCTGGAAACAAAAGCTGATGGGGTTTTCCAGTTGTCCCAAGCAGCCAGTTTTAGTGTTTTACTGTCTCTATTTTTCCTGGTGTCAATTGTTGAAACTGAAATTTGTTACTTAGGACCAAAGTTCTGAGTAAATGCATTTTATTAGCTCTTTCTTTACATCTATGTGGTATGGAATAGTACTGAAAGTTTTTCCCCTCAGTCTTTATCTTAACTAGGTTTTTGAACTCTTTCATGTGTCATATTTGTTAGACATCTGATTATTTATGTAACTTCTGCTTGATCCAGGTCTCTTGTGATCTGCAGTTCTGAAAGCTAGCTGAGGTGAACTTTATTAGCTTGGTTCCCTTCTCAGCAACTGGGACTGAGATGCCCTGATGTCTCTGCAACAAAGACATCAGCCAGATCAAACCAAAGAGGTCTGCTTTCAAGAAGAGGAGCCCAAAAGCAGAAGTACTGCACTATTCAGATGGGTGGTGGTGGTGGAGTTTCTTTGGATGTAACCCCTAACGATAGTGCTAAAGAATAAACAATCATTTAGTTCTGAAAGATGACAAGCAGATATGACCAGCAATAATACTCATAAAATACCAGTGGAGCAAATTATTTAGAAACGCCTATTAGTCGGAACTAATTGAGTTCTGTGTAACCTGGAATATATAGAGCAGGATGCAGCCAAGAATTAATGACAGAGATAATGAAGTGGCATATGGATTCCTTCAGCTGTTTTCATTCCCAGAATAGCCATTTTCAAGGACTAGGAAGGATGAATCGACTGGATGCATAAACTCAGCATTAGCATAACTATGTCAAAAAGCAAGTTAAAGTATCATGGAATGGGTTTTGTCTCATGTAGTTCTTTGGTGCAAGTTTTCCAACTACTCACCCTGTGTACAGAGAACACCAGCCTGCTGCCTCCTCCAGCTATGGAGTTCTATACTGTGATATAAACCTGTGTTATTAACTGCCCATCTCTCATAGTACATTTGAATACTGTCACATGGATCTCTTAGAATGATTCTGTGTTTTCCTGCCTTGTAAAAATGCCAGTCCAAACATGAGCTAGTTTTTTTTAATTCTCCCTGGGCTGTTTTCTGTAACTTGCATCTGCACTTGAGTCTTTATATCTTCTGTGAAGTCTGCTATTTTACTGTGATCTGTTGTCGATGAACGCTTGGGAGGCTTTACAACAGTAAATGCTGCTACTATGCCCTATGGGAAGAGGAAAGCATGTCTTTACATGTGTTCAAACTATTGAAGAGGACTGCCAAAACTCCCACTCCAGTAATGGAGGAAGCCCAACAATGAATAATCTAAGTAAAGGGAGATATTCTGCTCATTTTGATGGTCAATAGATGTTGGCCACCATTTAGTCCTTACTTTTCTGATTATAATAGTGATATTTTTGATACCAGTGTTTGAAGTTCCATATGAGATGTGGAATGTTTTCCTGGTCAAAATCTGGTCTGTTTTTATGGACTTAGGAATCCCGCCTAGGTCCCTGTATCATAGAATGCTTAATTGGAAGGGACCTTCAAGATTATCTGGTTCCAACTCCCCTGCTATAGGCAGGGAAACCTTCCGCTAGACCAGGTTGCTCAAAACACCATCCAACCTAGCCATGAATGCTTCCAGGGAGGGGGCATCCACAACCTCTCTGGGCAATCTGTCTCACCACCCTCACAGTAAAGAATTTCTTCCTAGTATCTAGTCTAAGTTTACCCTCTTCCAGTTTAAAGCCATTTCCCCTTGTCTTTTCACTACATGTCCTTATAAAATGTCCCTCCCCAGCTTTCCTGTAGGTCCCCTTCAGGTACTGGCAGGCTGCTATAAGGTCTCCCTGGTGCCTTCTCTTCAAGCTGAAGAGACTCAACTCTCTCAGTCTGTCTCTATAGGGGAGGTGCTCCAGGCCTCTGACCTCTGTGGCCCTCCTCTGGACCTGCTCCAAAGCTTTATGTAGTTCTTGTGTTGAGGGCCTCAGAACTGGATGCAGTACTATGGGTGGGGTCTCACGAGAGAAGAGTAGAGGGACAGAATCACCTCCCCTTGATCCTCTGGTCATGCTTCTCTTGATGCAGTCCAGGATATGGTTGGCCTTCTGGCATGCAAGCGCATATTGCCAGCTCTTTTTGAGCCTTTGATACTCCCAGATCCTCCTTAGGACTGCTCTCAAGGCATTCTCCACCCAACCTGTATCTGCTTGGGATTGCCCAACTCAGGTGCAGGATTTTGCACTTGGCCTTGTTGAACTTAATGAGACTGACATGGGCACACTTTTCAAGCCTGTCCAGATATCTCCGGATAGCATCTCTTCCTTCTAGCATGAAAGGTGAGAAGGGCCCCATAAGTGAAAGTAAAAAGGCAAGAAGGTATTACAGTGACTAAGGGAGGTGAAGGGAGATAAAGATAGGTTATAGAAGTAAGACTGTAGAGCTTGTTAGAAAGGTAAGTGATGGCAGACACTAGGTCTGGGATAGTGAGGGGGATGAAGGCTATGCCAGTAAGGTTTGAGAACAACCCAGAGACGTCAGGCAGGGAGGTGATTAGAAGTCCACAGGGCTAGAAGAAACCTGTTTGGGGAATGCCCCCCTGAAAGATTAGAAGTTTACAACGAGAAAGGTCAGAAGCCTTCGCAAGGAAGACAACAAATCTTCATCCCACGACCCACTACACACGTGCAAGAGGGGAGGGTCTGCATGCTAATGAACTCTTGGGGGTGTAATGAATATGTATCCGAATTCCGGGAAAACTATTGATTATGTATTGCTGTGGCCTATGTCTGTAGCATGATTTTTCCAGATGGTGTGCAAGTTAGGTAGATCTATCCCCCTTGTACCCTCTGTACGTGCATTGCTGAATAAACCATGCCTGCTTTGTAATCTTACTTGGGTTACAGAGTTTGATTCCACATGTCAAGCACATAAACTGCACCACTCAGCTTGATGTCATTTGTGGATATCCTGTGGAGCTGCTGATAAAGGAGGGTTTTGGAGGTGTCCTAGCATGGAACAATCTTATCTACTTTGACATCCAAGATCACCTGGCTTTTCTTTTAAAATTTGACTATAATAATTAGATGATTATATGCTGTTTACACACACAGAGTGAGTGGTTCTAGATGTTGTTTCTGATCTGAAGACAGTAAATCTGTATGATGCTCTGTAATAGACATCCATCCTGCTTTGGGTTGGCAATAACTTGCATGTTTGCTTTTTGCTCTTTTTTTTTTTTTTTTTTTTTTCCCCTACTTGTAAGAAGCTACTAATATATCCTTGTCCAAACTGTTGTCTATTATTGTCTGCAATCAGTTGCTTGGTTGCCTCATCTGCTGTGACAGAGTCTCTAAGGAAAGAAAGCTAACTCAAGGCATTTCCACAATGCTTAGGGCTTGTTCCACAATTAGTTGCCCTACTTTCTGATTTGAATAATCTGGTTTAGGTAGTGCATGAGGAGCTATGTCAGAACCCAGAAGCCATTGCTCCTTGCAATCCTTTAGGCCATGGTCAGGCAATGCCCGGAATCTGCAGTAACCTGGGAGATGACAATCTTGGCTAGAGCATTCTGAAAGCATTTTGCACCTTAATAATAGCATGCGTTAAGCTGTTCTTGAACAGTCTACTGGCCTAGGGAGAAAATCTAGTCTTGTTAGCATGTTATATGTCTATTTTTCCCATCACCACCATAGCAGAAGGGACATCAAAACTAATGATGGATTATTGTAAAAGTGGATCATTGTACTGAAGAAGCTAATGTAAACAACCCCTCTTCTTAAAACCTCTTTGAGGATAAAGAAGAAAATGAGCAGTAAAAAGCATTCACAAATGGATGTTATTCTGGTAGTAACATGTATTGAAAACTTTAGAGGGAAAAGAATGTTTATCACACAAAATTGTGGACAGTAATGTCACGAGGAAAGTACTGAGCTGTAAAGATTTTCCATTTTTGGACCAACTCAAAACTCTCTGGTTTGATTAAGGTGTCATCAAAGGTGTTTTGTCTTGTATCAGTTAGACTTCTTGGCTGTATGTGTTTTTTTTTGCTTAGTATACTTGCACTATAGAAATAGAGGATAAACGTACCAGAAATAATTATCTGTGTTTGGAACAATTTTCCTTTCTTTTCTACACAGAGAAGGAAGATAAAGTAAAGACTAACTTAAATAAGAAGTGACTCTATGTCAATAGAGATACAGTAGATTCAAAGCACTGCCATTTGTATTTGATAAGCTTGATGTAATTCAGGAGAGCCCAGAATGAGAGAATTATTAAAATTTCTATAATTGCATGTGTATTTTCTGCTGAAATGTAATCTTGAGATTCAGGCAGTTCCGCAGTTCTTGATGTAGTAACAATGCTGTTTTTCAAAATTCAGACTTCAGATGTGTAATTGCCATCTAAGATTGTTTTAAAATAGAGCAGAGAAGGAGTTTTCATATAATTTAGTTCAGAGTTGTTATTTTAGGAAAAGAATATGGATGATAACTTTGAGCATTGCCAAATTAAAACTCAATAAAATTGCTGGGAAGCCTGCAATTTTGTCCTTGTCATAAAAGAAAGTCATTTAACGTCCTGATTATCTGATATTGACTGTTGTACTCTTAATACTTCATTCTGGAGCAAAAGAGACTGAAATATTTTATCAAAAGAGAAGAACTTTTTGTGATGTAGATTTTACTTCTTATTGGTCAACCTTTCTTCTTCAAGTAAAACCATCTTTTTCTCATTTTTTTTTTTTTTTTTAATAATTTCTTCTCTAGCTGAGAAATTTAGATGGAAATTAGAAGAACTGGAGAAAGAAAAACATTCTTTAAAATTTCAACTTCCTTCAAGACATCCTTCAGTTAGCAGTTTTTTGGATAGGTTTGTCACCCAAGTTCAAGCAGTATTGTGTCGGGCTGCGGATGGGTAAGTTCATTGACTCCTTATGTAAAACGACACTTCTGCTTTTCATGAAGTACAGAACACAGTTTGTGATAAATTTTAACGCAAATTTGTAAGGACCTTCTGGCATAGAAATATGAAGTACATTTATGAAAAGTTGCTATCTCCTCTTTTTTTTCCTATGTTTCATTTAGAATTGCCTTTAAAAAGGCTGATTATTGTGAACTGGTGAATCAAACTGAACTTTTCTCAATGATGTTGAGTGAGAATGGGATTGAATCCTGACCCAGCAACAGTGTAAGGCGGTTTGAGTAATGGCTCCTTATGGAGTTGATTCTGATGCTCCTTTTTCAGACAATGAAAGGGCATTCAAATATAAAGTAAAAACAGGTTATTCTCTGAGATGTGCAGATCTTTGGGAGCTTCCTTTTATGCATCGCTTGTTAGGTGGCAGTAATGCGCTCTGCACTGTACAAAGTCACAAAAATAACTTCTCAGACTTCTCTCGAAGCAAGAACAGCTTCAAAGTCAGGGGGAATGTGAGATGCCTTGCATGACCCAAGGGAGGTAGTTAGCTTAGAAAGAAAAGATTGTCTCTATTCCTAGATCTTTCTTCAGCTGTGCTACTGGTGACTGTTGTTAAAAGTAAGAGGATTATTCAATTCCAGGTTTTGGAAGCTATTATCAAATGCTATAGCATAAATAAAAGAAGAAAAGCCTTTTATATTTTGGCAGCTTGTACATATAAAGGCTGCAATCTGTGCTAGTCAATAAATTCTGGTATATATAAATTTTTAATATTTCTGAAAATTAGTTAAAATCTCTACAGATTTTCTCAATAAATCCTATTATCTATTGAATTTTAAAGGTCTTTTTAGCCAATATGTGTAAAATTTAGTAATGAGAAATGTTTAATTCCACTTTCTATTTTCTTCTGCCTTCTGAGCTCTATGAAGCTGTTTTACTATTACTTAAAGATTACTTTAAAGCATTTTGTCATTAAAATATTTTCCCTGTATGCATTAATTTATAACAATGTTTTTGACTTTTAGAGGTGGGGTTGTTCTCTATGTCATATAAATTGATTCAGTATAGCATCCCTGAAGTGTGGTCTACTAATTTTAATATTTAAAAAAAAAAAAGTATCTATAATGTGAGTACATATATCTGCTCCAAAAGTAATGCCTTCAAATTTATTTTGTTGACTCATGGCATCAGAAGCAGATAGTGGTGATAGGACAGTAGAGGCTGAACCTTCCTGCCAATATTCTGTTACATGTTGTTGCTCTGTGACAGATGGCAGCAGAGGGGCAGTCTGACAAAGTAATGTATGACATGGAAGTGCATGTGAAGCAAAGGTGTGGCATGGAATTCCTCCATGCGAAAAAAGTTGCACTCACTGACACCTTGATTGATGCTTGCTGAATGTATGGAGACCAAACAGTGGATGTGAGCACAGTCAGGTGGTGGGTGGTGTGTTTCAGTGATGGTGACAGGGGGTCATCTCTGCCATGTTATGGTCTCCCATGCAGATATTTGAGTGTGGCATACAGGCTTTTGTTTGTTGTTGGCAAAAGGGTATAGCTAATGAAGATGACTGTGTTGAAAAATAGTATTTTGTGGCTGAGAATTTGTTCTATCAAGTAGTGTTATGCTCTTTGTATCAGAAATAGGAGGCATTACTTTTGGAGCATCCTATGTGTATTATATATTATGTAAGCAGTTATAGAAGTTTTTCTGTTCTCCTTCTGATGGCTTTATCTGTAACTCTTCTCTTTGCAGAGGTGTGAGAGCAGTGCCATTCTTGAGGGTCAGATGAATATCCTCTTACTCCTCACTTTTATGTCTTGAACACTCTCCTTTCTTTGAGCTTGAGTTTGACTGTTGTCGTGCACCTTTTATCTTTCTTGCTTGATTTGTAGCCTTTCACACCACTTTATCCACAGTCTGGCTCCTTTGTTGGTAGAGCAAGCAAAACTTTGTCTTCACCAGGAGTGAAAAACAGTTTAAAATTATGCTGTTCCAACAGGTTTTTTATAAAATACAGCTGGAAAACAATACCACTTCTTAAAGGAAAATTTGTTGGCTTTATTCTTTATTTTTTGTTTTGAATCAGAATAAAGCCACAATCTCCAAGTTTATTTAATTGAAGCAAAATAGACAGACTAGCCCCAGAAGACCAGAACATTGTAGTTTTACAGTAATCAAGCCAATTTCATCTTTTTGCAAATGAAGAACCTTATAAATTTGAAGTTTATATGGCAAGTTTAATATATGAGACTGACATTCATACCTTGGGATTGTTTTATGTGATTAAGTTACAAGAACATTTTTTTGGTAAATGTGTTCAGAGTTTGACACTGGGATATTGTGGGTGCATGGTAGGAGTCAAGTTTGGTTAGGAACAATTCCATGTTCATTTGATCACATAGTTCAGTGGGATCAGGGATATCTTGTTTCTGTTTCCTCAAAATCAAACAGACAGAAGTACAGGCAATTTCCCAGGGATTCCAAGAATAACGTTTGTTGACTGTGGAATGTTTTCTAAATTTTGATCAGCTGCTTGGAATTTCTATTGCATTCAGTTTTCAGAAAGATACAGATTTTTCTTTTTTTTTAAATACTCTTCAGAGCTGCTGAGAAGTGTTGTTGTTCAAAGCCACAATGATCTGTGTATGCAAGGCACATATATGTAGAGATAGCCTAGAACCTCACACATATGTGTTTGATTTACTTAGTCATTGAAGAAATGCAGGTACACAATCCTTATGTCAATTTTAAGTATTAATGTCATTTACATTAGAACTTTTCCTTTTGCTTTTTTTCGTATATTCTTCAGCCTGTAGGGAAGGGTGTAAAGCACATGTATATTCTAATGATCCTGCAGGAGAGACATGAATCGCTTTTGCTCCATATTGTTAAACAGCTGTGCATGGAGATCATAATTGTTTGATTAGTCCTGCTTGCACCACTTGTGATGCATGTTTTGTATATGGCATGAACGTATGTTTTGCAAGATTACAGTGTGAAATCATGCTTTAAAACCCTCCTTCATCTGAGACAATTTTTTTTGTTTTTAAACAGGATGTTGAAATGTATCTTTATCTTTTATGTGGAAATGCACATGCTTGTCTCCAGAGATGGACATAGACATGCCATTGGTCTTACAAGTGCACATGGCCTTATTCAGAAACGTGTGACAGAATAGGTTTGCCTTGTTTGCAGGTGCATTTTGAGAGGATTATTATAAACTTGACACTTAATGTAACACACTGATTACCTTGGGGTCCAATCATGCAAAGATTTACAGCTGAGGGTTGTACCAACCACTGTGAGGAATCCCACTGACTGTGATTTTGAAAGAACTCGCTGTGCAAGAGGAAAAATAAAATCTGGCATTGTGGAGCAAATGCTCCAGATGATCTCTAGTGTGGGTTCCAAAAGCTGACAGAAGCTGCAAAAATGGCTTTGGCAAGTTTCTAAACTTCTGTCTAAAAGAGGTTTTTCTCTGTATTGATAGAAATTACATGCCTTAGTTTTGTCTCTTTGAAGGCGGTGAAGGATAAATTTCTGAAAAGTGAAGTAGCTGGGGAAGCCTCGAGCTACATAAGTTTTCCTTTTACTTTCTTCAGCGTGTTGTAAAAACAGTGTAAATGTTTGATATAATAAGGAAGATATGCCAAGGAGAATGTCTTGTTCTCTAACTGTGTAGATGTTTAAGATGTAATCATTCTGGTGAAGGAGTGTTACAGTTCTGAAGGTAACACGTAGTATTCTTGTCTTTTTAATCTTTGTGAAGTGAATACCCAGTGAGAAAACTGACTTTTAGCTTTTGTCTTTCCTCCCTGAAAAGGCATAGGAATGAAGAAACCCAACTTTGGCATGAAAACAGACATAAACTGTTGAGATCCACTTACCAGGAGAGGATACAGGTTTTGGCCATGAAACGAAATGATCTTTTGCAAGAAAAAAAATGTTTACAGGTAAAAGGACTGCCAAGTTATCTATAATAACCAATGCTGTGTGGGGGAAAAGCTTGTAAGCTGTCACATAGAATTAAATAAACTTATTATAATACTTCGTTCTGTGCAGCAATTAAAGCCTTGGCTGTAGTCCATTTGATAATCTAAGTGATGATTGGAGATGGCAGCCATAGGAGTTGTGTTAATCTCATTAAAGAAAAGCAGAGCTGGAAGGCTCAGTGGCTTGTGTGCATGCTTTAATTTTCTCTGTTATCCTTCTAAGTGTGCTCTTTATGTTCTAATTTGCCATTTTTAAATTTCACTGATCTTCAGAAGTTTTTATTTGAAGACGGGAAGAATTTTGGAGGAAGAAATCTGTGACCAATTTCTGTTTAGATTTGATTATCAATATGTGATTTGTCAGCTTTTGGTCCTGTCGTGACCAAAACGTTTCATTACAATGCAGCAGTCTGTATGGAGCACTTGTCATTTGTCAATGATAGCTTTACACTGCCACGTGATGTCAGTGGTGTGGTAATGGTTAGTAATTGGTTGAATGTTTTAAGATAGTTTCTGTCCAATTGTAAATCTACAAACTTTAAGTATAATTTAGTTATTTTTTTCTCTGTCCTTCAAAAATCTCAGTTTATTGTCTATTACAAGTCTTTGCTCCATCTCCTTTTAAACTTTGGTGATCACACTCAGCAGTTGGACGTGTTAGCTTTATTTCTGTGCTCTTTCTTTCCCTGAAATCTCATTAATTTTGTTTTCCTCCTTTGTTGAATCCAATAGTACAATGAACTGTGTATACACATATATACATGTGTGCATATATGTATACATGTTTACATATACATGTACGTATACAAAAATGTGTACATCTGTGTATACATATAAAGAAGAATGAAATGGAGAAAAGCATCTTAGATAACCATTGCAAACTCTTTTGATCACGTCATCATTGTTCAGATTTATTTCCTCAATCATCAAGAGAGGATGTAGTTCAGATTTAAGTGTCTAGAAAATTAGTTTCTGTAATCCTCATATCTGTCCAGCCGTGTCAAAATAATCAACTGAAAAATGATGTCCTTAAGACTTGATGCCAGGTAATGTTTCTATGGTTGTTTTGGGTGTATTTCTTTTTCTAATGATGCTAGGGACAAATTAGCACGAGGGCTTGTCAAAATGATCATGAATTCTTAGTGCTGAAGAAGTCTGACCTGTAATGGTTGGTGACTCCTGGCATTTCTTAAAAAGTGATCTAGCCCCAAATCACACGTAATACGATCTATTTATTAATTTTCCTCCACCCTACTTTCCCTTTCCTTTCGGTGTCTCTTCTTTAATTTCTGCATATACCTTCTGGGCTTCTAAAGAGCAGGTGACAGTATCTGAAATCTACATTGTAATGTTTCTACTGTGATCTATTTGTGTACAATGTGAGCTTGTATGTGAAATTAGGAGTCTCACAATCAGTAGTGATTAGCTGTCATGTTAGAAGTCTCAGTTTAAACTCAAATCCAAAAAGTAAACCTCCAGGTTATGTTTAGTGAGCTAAATATCATCTGTTGCTCCATGCTGAGACTTTAAGTCCTTTTTATCCATCCCTGGAGGCTGCCCAATAGCACATTAAAGGCTCCTTGACATTTCTGGGAAAGAAAGAGAGAAAATTCCAGCTTGCTGGCTAAAATTTCCATTCTCTCAAGAATAAATGTAAACTGTTCCTGAGGAGAATAGTTTTTTCTTTGTGAATGCTGATTCTGGTATCTGAGTTGTAAAAATGTTTCAATACTAGAAGTATATTTTCATAACCAAATTCTGTTCATCTCCTGTTCTGTTCCCCTTTAGGCTGTGTATTGCAGAGATTGCAATTACTACATTTTCAAAGAATATGAAGGTCTTTGTATTAAGTAGAGCCTATTAAGATTTTGGCAGTATTCCCAATCCAGTAATACAGAGACAGAATTGTCCTTTGTGCACACTAAAAGCCTTATTTGAGACTGAGAGAAACAAAACTGATGCTTTTGGCCTGCTGACCTTTTTGTTCTTGACAAATGCCTGTGGGTTGAAATACGGGCCACTTTGTTTTCTTGTAGCTAAATCTAAAAGAATAAAAAGGAAGAAAACAATTGGTAAATGTAGTCCAGAGCACTAACATAAGTAGAATTCTTTGAGCCAGTTCAGTCTTTTAATGTGCAAGGGTCTATTTCTTCTTGTTTTATGTAATACTCACGTTGTCAGAGAGCTTGCTAGAGCAACAAACCTGAATACGTTTGTTTATAAAGTGAATATCAGTGAACTGAACTTCACTTAAAATACACTAAAAATGTTAAAAAGAACCTGAAAATAAGCATGTTATTTTTTTTTCTGAATGTCTGCTTTATATATTGTTGAAAATGGAAAATGCTTCTTGAGATAGATACAAAGAATAACATTTTAACTTCATTACTCAATATTTGGCCTCCAAAGCTTTTTACTGTGCAACACTGAAACCCTCTTTCGGATGCAGATTCATTGCTTTGTGAATGGGCTCTTTTTAAAACATTAATCAACATGGTATCTGAGTGATTCAAACCGGCTTAATTTTGTCTCTGCAACTGTCCTAGAGTGAAAAGATGTTTCTATTGCTGTTTTACAGGTAGAGAATTAAGTAGTGAATTACAATAAAAAGCTACATGGCACTTTTTAAAGTGAATTTTGTAATGCCTACTTACTTACCTGGAAAAGGTCCCTGAAAAAGGTCTTTTCTCTTTGACTGGTCTGAATATGGTAATGCAGAATTTAAGCTTTGATTTCTGTTGAGAGTCTCTGGGTAGCACTTCAGAGGCTCTTCCTTTTGATTGTATGGAAGATGGTGAACATTCAGTCTGTGACTGTGCATGCAGATAATAGATTAAGTGGCTTGCAGTTTCACAGAGAACATAAGAAATGTAGAAATAAAAGCAAATGCTCCAGTATAACATTCAACAACTTAGCAAATAGCTCTCCTTTGATTTTTTTTCTTAACTCACTTTTCAAATCATAGGACAAGTGAGCCAAGGGCCATATATAATGTAATTTTATTAAGTAGACAACTCAGATTCCTTTATGAAGTGCTCCTTCCCTTGGTGCAAGCTGTCTCTGGGGCTTCCAAGGAACAAATGGAATATTCTTTTGCAAGAAACATCAGTACCATAAAACATTTAATATTGAATGAGAAGTCTAGAGGAACCATTGCAGGGATATGCTGCAGTAGGATGGACAGGTTGTTGATCACCTGCCAGTCTGACGCAGAATTTTGTGACTGTAGTTGGACTGAGATTTTTTTTTTAACTTTTAAACAAAATTTTTTAACTTAGGAAGTACTGGTGATAGGCAAAATGTGCCTGTCACAGTTGATTCTGTCAGAGGAATCTGAAATATGGTATTGAGAAGCATAGGGGGAGTTTCAGACTGTAGAATTGCTAGAGCTCCTAAATGCAATGGATGCAAGAAATTTTGCATGTCAGCAGAAGGCTGTCTCCTCATCTAGTATTGCATTAAATGGAACAACCTTAATTTATGCTATTTCTAAGACATTTTCCTAGGAGCATAGCCATTTCTTTTATTTTTGTTCATAGTAAACTGAGGTTTCTGTTCTATGCAGAAAGAAATTGAAGACCTCCGAGTGAGACTGTCTGTGTTAGAAGAAAAAGATCAACAGCTACAAAGAGAAATTGAAGAACAAGATCGACTTATTCAGTCACAGGACTGTGAACTGACTAGTTTACTTGGCTGTGTTTCTTTGAGAGAGCTACAGGAAATAAGCAAAGCTGTGGATGACACTTTAGCATCTTCCTATCAAATTCCATTCAGTTTGGATCTACCAGGGACAATAAAGAGGTATTTAAATATCAATATGTTATCATTGATGTAAAGTCTTGTACCTTTCCAGTGTGGTGTAGAGTTCACTGCCAGTTGTTTCCTTAGTAATCGTGCTAGCTAATTACCTGGATTTGCAAACTTAAGAATTTCTAAGAACAGATATTGATGTTCTAATATACTTCCTTAGGAATGAGGACCTTGTAGTGATTTGAAGATTTTGTACTTCATATTTTTATGTGAAAGAGTCATCAACAGAAAGCATTTGATGATAGGTATTAACAATTGATGGATTTGATTTAAATTATTTTTTGGTAACTAGTGAAATTTATTTCCTAGGTTGGTAATGCAGTGATTGCAGCATATTTCTCAGTCTGAAAATGTGCACCAGGCCCCATCCAAATAAATATTAGAGTTGTCTCTTGCTTCAATGAACTTCCAAAAGTAATAAAGACTTCTATGATGAGTGTTGGGCTCAGACATTGGAATTGAGATAGTGGGGGAAGGGATAGGGCTTGAAGGCTTTTGGGACACCTACAATTAAATGCAAAGCATATGGTTCTTTCAGATGGAAATGTAGCTACTTTTAGTAATTTTTTTTTTCTTAAGTAACCTCATCTTTATTTTTTTTTTTTAAAAAAAAAAGCAATAGAAGCACCTAAACAATATTGACAGTCAATGAAACATTTGTGATGGAACTTGGAAAGTGTTATTTCTTCTGTGTCATCAGGACAAAATAGAATTTCTATTTCTCCTAACTTTCTTTCCTTCCAGATAAGCAGTAGTTGTGTTGCTTTCTCATCTGTTTTCCCTCTCTTAGCATTTTTTGGATTTAGATTATTTCTATTAACATTCATGAGAAGCTGCTGCTCATGTATGCTAATTTATACAGGTTTTTTCTTAAAGTCAGCAGAATGTCTCATAGAAGACATCCCTCTGTTTTGGAGGTTTGTTTAAAATTTTAAATTAGGTTATGGGAATCTTGAATTTAGTTTGTTTTAATGGTTGCTTATACTTATGTTTCAAAGATTAAGGAATTAAAGGTTTCAAGCAATCTGAGAATATATGCTTTGATTTGAGTTTTCTCTTAGTTTTGGGTTTGCTTACAGAAGAATATTCAGGTTTATTTTTTTTTTCAGTCACACTGCTGATGCAACATTTTAGTTGCACTTACTCTTTAGGAAACTCTTTAATGATGTCTTAAATTAGTACTGGTTCAGGAGCAGCTTCCTCTGAGTTATTCATTCACCAGTGCCATGAATAACATATTCACTTGAAAGAAAGCAGCAGTTTGTCATTGGAAGTGAGTTCAGAACTTTAACAATGATGTATGATTACTTTTCTTTCTTTCTTTCTTTCTTTTTTTTTCATTTTTTAATCAGCCTTAGAATGATCCTTTTTTGTTTTTGTTTTGTTTGTTGATCAAATTTTGTTGTTGTGGGAGCCAATGATTCATAGAATCATAGGAGAGGTTTTCCATAGTCATAGAATCGTAGAATGGCCTGGGTTGAAAAGGACCAGAATGATCATCCAGTTTCAACCCCCCTGCCATGGGCAGGATTGTCAATCACTAGACCAGGCTGTCCAGAGCCACATCCAGCTTGGTCTTGAATGCCTCCAGGGATGGGGAATCCACAACCTCTCTGGGCAGCCTGTTCCAGTTTGTCACCACCCTCTGAGTGACAAACTTCCTCCTAATATCTAACCTAAACCTCCCCTGTCTCAGTTTAAAACCATTTCCCTTTGTTCTATTGCTACCAACCAATCTCAACAATTGTTCTTCCTCCTGTTTATACACTCCAAGTATTGAAAGACCACAATGAGGTCTCCCCAGAGCCTTCTCCAAGCTAAAAAAAGCCAGTTCCTTCAACCTTTCCTCATAGAAGTGCTCCAGCCTTCTAATCATCTTAGTGGCCCTCCTCTGGACCTGTTCCAAGAACTCTGAGTCTTTCTTGTGCTGGGGGCCCCAGGCCTGGACACAGTACTGCAGGTGGGGCCTCACAAGAGCTGAGTAGAGGGGGTCATTCACCTCCCTCTCCCTTCTGGCCACCCATTTTTTAATGCAGCCCAGGATACTGTTGCCGTTCTGGGATGCAAGTGCACCTGTCCAGCTTCTTGTCTGCCAGGACCCCCAGGTCCTTCTCTGCAGGGCTGCTTTCAAGGAGTTCTTTGCCCAGTCTATATAAACACCTGGGAGATTGTCCTGGCCCAAGTGCAACACCTTGCAATTGGCCTTGTTGAACCTTGTTAGGCTCCACAGGCCTGCTTCTGCAGCCTGTCCAGGTCCCTAAACATGTTTTCACTTTCCTCCAGTGTATCAACTGCACCACTCAGCATGATTAGGTTCTTTGACTCTCTTTATTATAATTGGTGTTGTCCTATAGCAGACAGGGACAGGTAAATTCTAGATTGCCTAAACATGCTTACTTATGAAAGCCAAGCATCTTTGACAGCCCTAAGGAAAAGTTCAGATCTTCTACTTCATGCGGTAGTTGTTTGTTCTTGTCAAACCCAAAAGCTTTTTTGGACCTGAACTAGTGACTGTGATGCAGATACTCACCTATTGCATGGTCATGGAAAACCTACAGCTCTTGGTTCTGAAGGTGGAAGCTTCTGTGTTGAGGTGCTGTGTATCCTGTCTGGATCTGAAACTACAGCCTCAGAGTGAGCTCACTGTCCTTGGCATCATGGTCTGCTATATCTCATTTAAAATTTGCTCAAATGTTTCTATGTGCTGCGCCAGCTGCTCTAGTAAGGAATGCACTAGGGAGCAAGGATTGAAATCTCCAGACTAGGAGTTGAACTCAAAAGCTTGACTTTGTTATATGGCCTTTTCCCTTGCCTGTGTTTTTTGGATCTCTTAGCTTAATCCACTTGCTTCTTCAGGTACCTGAAATAATTCCAGGGCTGTTCTGTGTGATGATCATGTATGTTTCCAGGCTGGGTTCTCAGCCACTTTTTGCTTCCAGAGTAAAGTATATATCCAGAAGTGATGAGGAAAGTAATATGCTCCTGCTGTGGTTTCAGCTAATAGTGTGATATATGTGAAATATTATGCTTAAAGTGATGGGTGTCTTCTTTTTAAGTCCATGCAATCTATCATACATTGGATACAGTGATCTTATATTTGCGTCTAGTTATACTGTTTTTTCTTTATGTAAGATGAAAACATTGCAAATGTATAAGTCAGGTAGCATGTGTACACTTCCAGTGGGCCCTCCACATTGTCATAAAGTTATAGGGTAACTTCCTGCTGAATGCAGGGCTACAATTTCAAAGTGAAATCATGTCCCTCATGGCCCTATCTATCTTGGTTTTGAATATCTCCAAGGACAAAGATCTCACTTGGTGTCCTATCTTTGACCACTCCTTCACTGCATAGTCTTTTCCTACTGTATCTAGCCAGAATTTCTCTTGTTGCAACTTTCATTGACTTATCCTTAATCAGTATGTCTTGTGAAAGACAATATGTTAGGTAAGAGGTTGAAAACTTAACAAAACCAGTTCTGCGTATTAGTCCTAAATTCCAGAGTCTTGTAATATTAAATAGAAATGTTCATTTTATTTTATGATCTATTACTAAAGAAAAAAATTATTTTTTTCTGAAGTTTGGGCTACATATGTGAGACATAAGTAGACATGTAATTAAAAACACAGTTTATGTAGAAAGTCATTCAATACTGGTAGGCTGTTGACTGATGGCAAGTTTCTGGCTATCAGGATGAAAGATATTGTGCATTCTAACTGCGTTGCGCTAGTCAGTAAAGTAGTGCTATACTGTGCTTTTGCATAATTATTTGTTGGGTTGCTTTCAGCACTAGGGTAGCACAGGGCTGATGTGAAGCATCTCTTAAGATAATCTCCGCTGTAACGAATCATGAATCATCTCACCGTAAAAATACACATTATTTTGCTTTTCTTGGTCTAAATGTTATCAACTAGAAAGTTATTAAAGCAAACTTAAGGGAAAGTGAGAGAACATTTTAAATGAAGAACAATTACCCAGATAGAATGTAATGTTAGCCAAGCATTGTTTCAAGCTTATTTTTCTTGTCAAGCATTGTTATTTTCAGGATGATTAATAATCCTTTATTTAGCTTTGTTTATCTTTTTCATGTGGTAGATTTTTTTTGAAAACTATAAGCCTTTGTCAGTAATTTTAACATGCTTAGAGTTTGAAGACTTGAGAAATGTTACATGGTTTACTCTGGGATCTTTCTTGAGGGCTAGTAGAGGCCTAGGTTAAAGCAGGGGCAGTTAATTTTCAGTCAAGCTAGCTTGTGATTTGACAGGGATTCTTATCCAGGTTGAGACCATAAAATATGGTTATTTTGCTCGTCAAGATAGGATTACTTACCCTTGATAAACTAAAGGGAGTAATTGTTATAAAATGAGGAAATTGTTCAGACTTCTTGCATGGGGTTCTTGTGTGTTACTTGAAGACAATATACTGAAATCAGTGAAAAATAGTTCTGAGTGTTCAGTGTGAAGGACTTATTCCTGGAGATAGCAAAATTTAAAAAACAAAAAAACAAAAAAAAACCAACAAGAAGTACAGTTGTCATATCCTTCGCTGAAGACGGGGTAGTAAAAAATATGTATTTCTGAAACTATGTGACTTGTATTGTATCTTCTCATTATGAGATAAGACAATGTTAATTATTTGACTTATTCTCTACAGTGCCCATTCGTTCCTTTTTTCTTTTTTTTTTTGTTTTCCCAGTGGAAACTTGCTTCTACCAGTGGAGAAGTTTGTTGCACTTCTGTTCGTATTTAAGTTCATTTAGAATTTTTAGTTTTGATTTTACACTTATCTCCAGATGTATACGAATGCACAGCGTGTCATCCTTGAAATAAATTACAGAGTTCCATATGGACTATTGTCTGGGCAATGAATGCTGCTTGAAAGAAAGAAATTCAATTAAATATATTTCAAAAATTTGAATCCTCCACCTCTTTTTCCGCCCCTCCCATGGAGCAATTTTTAATTAGTAGGAATATTTTCCACATGTATGTGTGGG